TGTATCCACTCGCTTTCGCGCGGCCGAGTCTCTCGATGGCGCTCCTCCAGAAGGCTGTGGCGGAATTCCATTATAGTATTTAATGTGCTCTTTAATATGGTAGTAAAAATGTCCGATAAAAATTTAATAAAGTGTAACTTATAGCGCCTTGAAAGTCATGGAGGCAAAATGACTTTTTTTTGCCCCCCCCCCTGTATAGGACGCGTGAAACAGGAAAAATAGATAGTCGGAAAAAATTCCTCCTCGCGGTTCGGGAAAATTTCTCAGAGTCAGATACGACTCCAACAACCAGGTGCAACTACCTCGAGAAGATTCTCCCAATGATGCTGTACCTCATTCTCAGAAACTCCACCCAGTCATTGCGGCTTTCACTGCCTCTACTCGAAATGCACGAGGATTCTGGTGAAAACGCGGTCAATTCTCTGACGAAATGAAGATAAAAGCAATGCTCAACCATCAAAATGGGATTAAAGTGTAGAAATACCTTGAACAAGTCTCCACGACACATAATTCGCAATCACACGTTTTGGAGTTGTGGTCAGGATATGCTGGAAAATTTCCGTGTGTTTTGCGACGTAAGAAATTTGAAGATGTTCGATAATTACCTGAATTCCTGTAAAATACTCGATTTCACGGATGATTACCGTATGGTTCGGTGATACGTCCGCCAATCCATTGAATACTGTTTTCACGTATTGCTCAAAATTTATCTGAAATGTCAGCTGATATTTGCGTTGCTTTTTCACCTATTTAATTGATTAGTTGATCATAGCTTTACAGGATGCTCATGTTCTCTCACACATTTCGGACCGTGTGACACACACGGTGTGTCACACAATTCCTGCTCTCTGTGATCGCGTGACACACATGTTCCAGAATTTCTCGCTGGTTTGTTCCTTACCAAAGGAAAATGAGATTTCAACTGCCAAAGTTGGAATCGATTATTTCCTCGATCGGGATCGCGTCGTACCATGTCATCTGCCGAGAAATTCACCAATTTCAGCTCCAACTCCATTGCCTCATACATCTCCCTTTCAGCCAGTTTGGGTTCGGCTCCTGAAATCAAACTGCATTGAAAATGTTCGCGGGCGGATTAAGGTTTAGCACGCCGCCTGAGTCGTAAAGTGTGAACGTGGCCCTACTCTTCTGCTGCGCTAGAGGGAGCAGTTTGGCTTGGTGGGGGCAGCACATTGTACTTAGCAATTCAGTCCATCATGTTAAGACCCTCGAATTCTTTA